TCTTGCCGTGCGGTCGGCCCTATCGACGGAGCGGCGGAAAGTAAGAGCTGAGGTGAGCTCTTGGAAGTTCGAGGACCAACGTCCTCCGACAGCAAATCTCCCGCTTGTGTGTGGAAACGATCCCGAATCTGTCCAGGCTCTGAAAGGACAGTGACGTCCGACGTTTCGTCCCGCGCCGGAAACTCCCCATGCTTCCCGTCTCTATCCTCCCTTCTTTTGCGGTCAGGCGAGGTCGTATTCTCCTTGAACAAGCCGAGGTAATGACTAGACTTTCGACTACGTACGTGAGAGGTAGGCTCCGCATTCGTCAGATTGGCCTCAATGGAGTTCTCAACCCTGCCACGTCGGGACCGACTCGCACTCCGCTCAACTTTAGTCTCGCAATTCCGGTCCCGGGTCTGTTCCGGATATTCACGGTGATGGGATGGCGAGGACGAGTCTCTCAAAGAGGCAGATATCAGACTGAAATTGGGAACGGGATCCTCTAAAGGGGAGTGTTTAGTGCCAATACCATCCGAGAAAGCTTTTCCGGGGAGATGCAAACTCTCCCGGACAGGAGCATTTAGTTTCCTGTCCGGTTCCTTGTGAGGTGCGTCCCAAGCTACATCTGAAGCAACGGGTCGTAGTGACGAGGGATGGACGGGGAGGGATGGCGAAACGTAGGTAGAGGAGCGCAACGGGTGAGTCCTGCAAATTTCGACTTCCATGGGGGAGCGATCGACGGAAGGGCGACGGAAGGGGATTTTCAAAGAGGAAATTGGCGAAGCGGGCGCATTATCGAGTCCCGGAGACAAGTCGGTCGTCAAGGCAGTATCAACATCTTGTACGGGGCCCAGTTGCGGTGTGTTACTGGTTTCGTTATCTGAGGGGAGGTAGTGGGTTGCGAAGATGGAATCCCTTTCGGAAAGCTGGGGACTGTGAGACCGATCAGGGCGGGAGAGCCTCTCCAGGGGAAGAGTCAATGCCCTTTTTAGGGTAAAGCCAGATGCAGGTTTAGACCATTGATGAGCGGTGGGGGATTCAGCGCGGGATGGAGAAGGAGCTTGCTGAACATCCTGATGCATGAGCTGCTGGTCGCGAGCGATGTGGCGACGCTGCTTGCCGGAAGAGAGCTCAGGCCGTGCAGAGCAATCATGTTGGGCAGACGCAGCAGGTGTCACCAGGGTGTCAGGCAAGGTGTTCTCAGACGCAGATGGTGGCCTTGACATGGGGAGGACATTGGTTGGGGGGGTGTGGTAGCTGCACGGAATCGAATGAGAAGCCGAGCAGGGAAGAAAGGGCGTTGTTGAAGGGAAGATTATGGTTGGTGTTTCAATTCGAAGGCGGAAAGCGAAGGCTTGGAGGAGGGAGATTATTCTCTGGCGTCACCGGGTTTTAGTTTTCTTACTAAGTTCGAACTAGAAGCTAGGCGGCGGTAGGGGAAAATCATCGAGAAGATCAAGGAACACCAAGCCACGTTCCGGGGAGAAACAATCTTACAGGCCAGCAAAATGCGCCCAAGTCGTCGGACGGGACAACCTGAAGAATTAGAAGGTCGTTATCAATGTGGTATTATTGATTAGAGTCTAGGTAGTTGTTCAACCGGACAAACTCTGGAATGAAGTGAAATTAGTCGATTTTATTGGTATGTAGGTAGCAGTAAGGGTGATTTAATCAGAGGAGCATTAGTTATAGTAAAGAAGGTACCTTAGAATGACAGGACAAACAACAAAAGGAAACTTTCAATTGGGTTTAGATATTTGAAAGGATGGATGGAGGATGAAAAGGACGCGGATCATTACCCTGGTCGTAGCATGGTATAGAAAAATAACAAAAAAAGTTCAAAAGTGAATATGGTGGGCCAGTTTTCTCTTTACCTCCGATCTCTTCTGTATTATTCTTTTTCTCTGGTATATAATTCAGACACTGTAATTGTAAAGAGTTCTAGACAGGTCTCACCTTCAGAGTACAGTGAATCAGTGATGGGTCTCTACTATCTGACTACAGAGTACGGAGTACTTGGTTCAGTAAAACCTAAGAGAGACAGCACGCTAAGAACCACGCTTTGTAGGATAGAGTTAAGGATGGGTTTAGATGCTCTTAACGCAGGTCCAACATGCCAATAAGAACGGAGTCTTCCCAGTCGTAGTTCAGAATTATGACTGAGATTGGGGACTTCCCCAGGAAAAAGGAGCTGTGGCTTGTCCATTCTATTCCTCATGGGGTAATCATCATCTCCAGCGTCTTTCTACCTAGATCTCTGGATCTCCACGCGGTTTTACTGGGTGAATAAACAATTTGAAAAGAGACGGAATATTACGAGGTGAAAGCAGTGTGCAATCTCATTCTCAATTTCCAAAGCCAATTTTCTGAGTAGACATCAGCCCTTAATTCAGGTATGTCGCTAGGCAATTATCTCCCATATCCCCTATCTAGGTACCAGGCACTGTTTATCTTACGTACTCCATACTATCTACCAGCCAGATACGTGCCTTTCGAGGGTGAGATCGGCATTCTTCACTGTCAGATGTCGGTGATAATTGACCACTAAACTGGCGTTTGATAGACTCTCTTATCTAAAGATTTGAAATCCAGAAATGAGACAACCTTTCTGAATCCCTGAACCATTTCATCCTCTCGAATCGAGAAGAATGTTTTGCTTCTTAAAACCCAGTATGTATAAATAATGTTATGCATCAATAATGGATGCCTCACTGTCCAGTTTTCACTGAGCTGCGAATGCTGGAAACGTTCAGCCTCAGAAACGCCAACCATTAGATAGGAAACGTGATCAACCTGCTGGCCACGAGGATCTCTCCCTCCTTCCCGAAAACTCCTCTCCTCATATCCTGAGGATCCGAGTGGTATGTCGAGATGGAACAGTCGATGAGAGGATAATGTCTCGCATTACTTTCAGATCTAAATCATCACAGCCTCACCGGTCACGAAAACAAAAGTTTTATCGAAGTATCCTTGTTTCTTCGCTTGCGTCATATCGTTAGTTTGTCGCTTTTCAGGCATCTGCATTTCTATTCTCTTTTCCTGAGCTCCTGATGCTGGCTATTCTGACACAGGGTATCCTTGCTCTCAAATTCAAATTCATTATAGCATCGCAGTATTATCTTTGATATCGCTAAGGTCATCCCCTGGGAATATTTGCTCCTCCTTCTGGTGAAGTACATTATTGGGCTGCTCCTCATGCCCAACGCGCCCTCCATTATTAGACTGGTAGAAGTCTTTCCATAGCATTTGAATTTCCCAACAACAGAACCATGCAGAAGGATTCACTTATCCTCGGGAGTGATCGTCTGTGACCTGTCATATTACTCACATATGGCCACGATCAGCCAACAGCCGATCATACTCGATGTCTGTATTCCTTATCTGGAGCTCTTCCGCGTGCAACCATACATTCGGGCTCTTGAAACTTCGTTGAGAAAGTAATCAAGACTTTGATGCAGCATACTACGTTCGATCAATCACTGCGGTGCTACATATGGCCGTAGTGCTTCCTGGCTGAAATTGCATTAGCTGGCTCAGAGACAGGAGATGTAGACGCTCAGGGCCGGCGCAATATATTCGACCTATGGCGTCTCTTCTGCCAAGAGCTGCCATGGTTCTCTCTTCGTCTATTGCCCATACCTGGCCTTGGAGCGGACCTAAGCGACCAGTTTACTTTGAGTGACAAGCTCGTTTGTGCTCCTCCTGTTTTGGTGCGGTTTGTATGCAAGGAAATTTCCCTCATATCAGCTCCCAAGAATCTTTGGGTACCCCTCTAACTTATAAGATGCTTCAAGAAGAATGCTCTTGCGACCCCTCATGGTGTTCAAGGTATCTTGACGGTGAGGGTATAGTACTAATATAACAGCCGCCAGGAAACATAGTACTTACCCTTTATATTGACCTAAAGTAGATATTCTAGATTGAGAATACCACTGTCTTCGAATAGATAAAATACCATGATAACCACCGGTATAGTTTTGGTGATAATTGATTGGTACTCAGTGGGATCGAACAGGAAAAGGTGGGAAAACAAAAGGCCAAGCTTGCGATGGAATTCAATCAGCTAAAAAGTAAAGGTAGTATCAAGGTGTGCGTGCATGTTGCAACATGAGGTTGAGGGTATGAGCCAGTTGCCTTGCTTATATATCCTTTCACATTTCTCCCGTGCCTCAAGACCTATCAAAAATAAGAATGTCAAGAACGTCAAGTCACCCTGGTTCGCTTTCTCTCATTGGCTGTCTTGTTCTCATTCTGTCTGCAACCAGGCAGAATAATCACACATTCGCTCTGCGTAAAAATCCGACAGGACCGAGATCTCGAATACGGGAAGTTTCCCCTCAAACTGTCACAATATTGCGGCGTAGTGAACTTACGTCCAGATTGCTCCTAATCTTCCATTATCATTGGTAGAACAGCATTTTTGGCACTATCCAGTGTGATAGCGACAGGGCAGTGATGTGATGAGAAGCCGTCCAACAGGACGTTCCGAACGGGCGCCTGGCCAACGATCGCTGTGACTGGTGAGAAGTGATGGCGCCTGCTGCAGGCTAAGCAGTTGGTGCAACAAGCTCTCATAATAATACCAAAGCAGGAGATCCATTGAGTTCTGACCACTTGGAGACAAAGCATCCATCCCCGCAGTCATGATCGAAGTACTTCTGAGCGCTTTTGGTTCTCCACTCAGTTGTGCCTGTTACTCCATGGAGCACACTTAATGGCTCTACCACCCCGATTTGATGTCGCCGGATCATACTATTGCATTTGCGTCTCGTTTCAGAACTCGCATTCGTATTCAGTTGTTCCTGGTGTCCTCTATCAAGGAGCGTGGAGAGCCTGCGCGATTTTGATGCATGCGATGAAGCTGACGGCAGCAGGCTGAACGAAGCGCACGCACAGCAACCTTATCCTATCAAGAGCGCTTCGGTTGTCGCCAAGCGGTTGCTTATGCTGAACTAAGCATTTCCGGTCCGTACGGGAGATTAGAGGCGTTCGTCGCTCGAAGCAAGTATACTACCACAATGGACCGGCAATTACGATTGGACACCTCTTTTGGTGCGGGAACTCAAAGATACTCTTTCATCGAGACGCCGTTGGAAATGAATCCTTCGCGACAAAGGATAGAGCGACAAGTACCACTGCCGGAGTCAGAGACAAAAGCCGATGCTTGTCCGGTTCAGCAGCAAAACACCGCGACAGAAGACGTTCAACCATCGTTCAATGAGAAGGCTCAACTTCAGCATGAGTCTGCTGCATCTGTCTACCCCGGTAGTCCGCCCATTGAGCAACACCCTGCGCACTATGCTCCCTATGCAGAGGATGCGCCACAACAAGCGCAGTTTGATACCGTTGCACCAGCATACTCGTACAGCGCCGGCCCCGACCCACGTCCAGTCAAGACGGACCCTGATGCGTCAGGTCAGTTCTCAGAGTCTCGGCAGATAACCGTTGCACCTGACGAGAACCCATTGCATTCTCCTCGCCTGCCACGCCTTCCTCCACCGATCATGACCAGCGCACCACATCCAACTACGCCAATGTCTTATCATCAACCGGGGCAGGTCGCACACCCCAACCAAGTCGTCAAGGGTGGGACATGGAGTCATGGTTTATGTGAATGTTCCAGCATTGGGACATGTTGTCTTGGACTCCTGTGTCCATGCATACTCTACGGGAGGACGCAGTATCGCCTTTCGATGAAAGGCAAAAAGGAGAACCCAACCAACATGCTAGGCCACGAGACATGCAACGGCTCGTGTACGGCAATGGCTTTGCTATGCGGATGTCAATGTGAGTTTCTCAGTCATACTGAAAGTAAAGGTTCGATATTGACTTTGAAATAGGGCTGCTGGCTACGGTGCAGCACACACGGACACGCAAAGCGTACGGTATCAGTGGCAACGTTGGGTCTGACTGTGTACGAGCTACATGCTGTACATGCTGCACGCTCATACAAGACGAAAAGGAATTCAAAACTCGCGAAGAAGAGCGAGAGAGAGTTGCTTGGGCTACGGGGCAGGCACTAGTATCACCATATGCAGCGCCCTTGCAGATGTCCTATGGCCAGCCGCCGAGATGATGTCGGCCCAGGTCGCCAGAGGTTGACAGATCTTACCAGAAATCGGCAGCGGGTCAATCAGTCAAGCAGATTCCTTTGAGGTCTTGTCTGCGATAGGACGAGAGAAACTTTCCTCTGCCAGGGCGACGAAACACGTTCGTTTCCTCGCCACCCTCTTTTCTCGGGGCGTTCTACAGGCTGGCTTACGTTCGACCCCTCTCCATCTTCTGTCATTATCTTCACCCTTCAGCATTGAGCGAGGGGGATCCCTGGCTCCGGCGTTGGATCGTGTTTTAGCGGCATCCGAAATCTTGCCGAATTATCAGACCATGTATATACGCATCGACATCAAGGAATATGATGAGATCCACATTTTCAAATCACATTAATGCTTGGTCCCCTGTAGAAGATCGGTGTTCTGTCGTAGATCCTGTAGGATTGCATGAAATCCTTCTATCCCGAGTATCAAGCTACGCTTATACACTTTAGCGAGTGGCCCACGTCCAAAACTCATCATGCTTATCAATTCATGACAAAAGCTCACAAAGAAGGTCGTCCTAGCAGCTTCAGAGTCAAAAACACTGCGGTTAGCTTAACCGAGGAGACGACGTGTAGCTGAACGGTGGTGATTTGGGTGATTCAGAGTTTAAGGTTCAAGGTTGCACATACTGTTTTGCCGTAATTACTCCGTATAGGCGTCCAGTTACCTGTAGGACAGAAAGAACTCAGCCTTGAGAATATTCTATATCGCCTGTTCTAGGTAATAGACACAGTCATAGTCCATATTTGGAGTTACGTCAGGGTAGCTTGGACCACTCAGTCAGGCATTAACTATCTTGTTCTCTGACTTTTATGACTCTGCTCGGTTAAAGATATAGCAGGCAGCCGGATAGATTCATGAAAAAGGATGCACCCCATTGCCGTCAGCAATTTTGACATCAGGCAGCTTGGGCGCTCTACTCACCACGGGTAGTATACTCACATGCATGCACATGGCTGCTGTGAAACACTATTCTCAAAAAAGCTCAGGACGAGGAGTTCTAGATTCATCGACAGGCGACAAGCAATAGAATAAATATAGGAGCTACTGAGTTTGCGATGCAAATGCTCTTAAAGGTACGGAGTGATGGGACGTTTGAGTCGAATTGTACCTAAGATGCAGCAGTCCAGGAACTCTTAGATGTGCAGAATCTGAAGGCCAAATTGCTCCGTGGCTATTAGCGACTAAATATCTACCACACCACAAAATGATCATTCGCATTTCGGAGGAAATCTGCTCATCGGCTGTAGACTAAATGTTGGCTTACTGTTCGGTTGTTCAATGGCTATAAGAGATCTGGACCGCGGTGGCGGATGGTTCATCAGATCGCACCAAGTCTTGGCCTCGTCTCTCCTTAAGGAAGCCTGGCGAATACGACCTATGCGCACCTCCTCCGCAACCCAATTCTCGAACAAGCCTTTTCCACCATTCTTGTTTGACACTTTGTCTTGCCTACCCCTGCTTCATCCTCTTTGAATACTGATTCTCACAGCACGTGGCGATTCCGACACTCCTTGCGCCTCCAGACTTGTCTGTTACTACCGTGGTATAGAGACCCAACCTTTCGCGAATGACCACATCTATTAGGACAGTGCCATTATGGGGGTTTGAGGCAAATACCATCCGTTTGCATTAATGGTCATCGAGAGCAGTCTTATCGCATGATAACCCGGCTTTTATGAATCCCTCGCAACCGACGACGACGTAAGAACGTCTTCACGAGTCTGCCTGACCATGGGGGATGATGCTCGTCTAACTCCCCGCCAAATATGGGCTAATCCAACGACAACCACCACCAAGTCTTATTCGCCAGGCTGCACTCCCTTTCTGCTTCCTAGCGATGGTACGTGATGATTATTACTCAACCGTGTTGTGCAGTTACTTGTTTTTCGATGTCGCTGCGTCACTGTAGCGGCCTTAGATCCCTCTCAACTCTAGCTGATCGTCGCGTCCGTTGCGCATGCTTCTAGGCTATGTCTATCTTAACCGATCCTTTGCAATCACCCTCACAGAAAATGCCGTTTTCGAGCCCGTATGTACGAGTCAACCAACCGATACCCGACAGCCATCTCCCCTCCTTGACACCCGCGATCCCTTCTACTCTTCCGTCACACCGCAGTTATACGCTATCGGCTGCGCAACCGTCGTGAGCTATCTCCTCGTCATCATACTACTCATCACACCGCGAACGTTCTATGTTGGAGGTCCCGGTGGCGGTGCCAATTTCTTGGGGCGTCATGGCATGATCAGTGGATCATATAGCGGCAATTCGTCGGTGGTCGGCGTTGGTGGAAGGCCGTGGCTTCAAAAAGTAGCTGCGATCTTGGTGGCGGTATCGTTGACTATCGCGTCCGCGGACTCATTCCGGGTCGCTGAGCGACAGTATAACTACGGTTATTCCGATGCCGAAGCGCTCACCGAGGAGGTCATCGATGGCACGGAGATCCGCGTGGTCAGAGTTATATCAAGCACGTTTCTATGGCTGGCGCAGGTGCAGACGCTGATACGGTTATTCCCGCGACATAAGGAGAAGATTATGATCAAATGGGCCGGATTTGCGTTGATTGTCCTGGACACGATATTTAGTATTCTGGATAAGTTTCTTGTCAAGACCAATACGACGCGGCCCCGACTCTACGACGATGCGATTCCCGCGCTCAGCTATCTGTTTGAGCTTGCGCTCAACCTTCTATATGCCGCCTGGGTAATCTTCTATTCATTATCCAAACACCGATATGCCTTCTTCCACCCGAAGATGAGGAATATCTGCTTGGTCGCACTTTTATCTTTGTGTGCTGTTCTCATACCTGTCATTTTCTTCGTTCTGGATATCGCCAAAGAAGAGATTGCCGGTTGGGGTACCTACATACGATGGGTTGGGTCAGCAGCTGCGAGTGTTGTGGTTTGGGAGTGGGTGGAACGAATAGAAGCACTGGAACGGGACGAAAGGAAGGATGGCATTCTTGGGAGGGAGTTATTCGACGGAGACGAAATGCTGGAAGTCACACCATCAGAAGAAGTTGACTGGCCTCGCCAGACCTATGGTGGAGGCGACCGGGATGGGGGAAGCGGTACGTCCTCGGGATGGGGAGGTGTCATGGGGTTGGCACATCGACCTCTGCGCACAAGGGTCGGTCTACCCCGTGGCAACCGCAAGCCGGACAAACAACGCAAAACAGTTAGTTCCGATGTGCGACGTCGTGGAGCTGGCCGCCCGACACCACCCCCGGCGGCTACTACTCCAGTTAGTCGGGCGGATACCACAAGTGCAGCCAGCACCGTGTATAATGTCCATTACCACCCGGTGTCTAGCCCGACGCCTCCGGTCGTAATGCCTCATATGGAGGAGGAAGATGAATATGAGACAGACCAGCTGAAGGAAATGGCCATGAGAACCGAGGACGGAGAAGGTGACGTCGCTCAGCCGCGTCTTTCAGCGCAACAGACCCGCGAAGAGTCACCTCAGATCGTCAATATGGACGGCCGTTGGCGAACGATCCTCAATCCCTTCAAGAAGAGACGTGCCTCTCTGCCCAGGGAAGTCGCCTCAGCGCAGGCAGACGAGGATCCTTCGACTGCGCAGGAAGATTTGTATGGCGACGAAGGTGACAGGCAGCGTGCGGCATGCAGCAAACAGGGACAGTTGTTCCCATTCAACTTCAGGATCAGGCCCGGCTCTGACAAGCGCGACGCAGATGCTTCCCTACCAGTGACCGTCATTCCTGCCAGACGCCGGGGCCAGAATACATGGTCCCCGCAATGGCTAAACGATGCAAACATACTGGAACCGACGCCCAATCGTGTCGTTCGTTCCGACCGCTCCAATTTGCCCGTGAGGGTGATCCAGCCGCAGACTCGAACTGCCGCTCCGTGGAGCATGCCCGATGGGGACTCAATTCTCGGCAATGGCAACTATGAACTGCGCTACGATCCGGAAACAGCGGCGCTTATCGTGCCTGATGATCATCATGCACAGCAACAAGCTGCTGCCGCGAGCACGGCGCACAATGGAGACGCTCAGCCTGTTGATGAGGCAACCGCTGGACCTGCGGGACATGACGCTCCTGATACGCTACACGAGAGTCAAATTAGCGCTCCACCTGAGCAGCCTCCATCATCGACACCGTCATCGCAGGATCAGCAACGGTCTCCGACTCGTCAGAGTCCCGGGGGTGATCCCAGTCGAGACCACACATAATCCGAGCGATAGCTGTTGGCATCATGCGCGATCTTTACTTGTTGTCTTTCTTATTGGCCGGGTGCTGTCTACATTCTAATTACCCTTTCGACTGTTGATTTAGCGAGGAGTCGGGGATCATTCACCATGTGGTAATCGGTTTTCATTTCTCTTTCGATAATATGTTGTCGCTTCTTACTTACGAGCTGGAACGATGTGCACAGCGTCTCGTCGCCTATGAATTGCACATTACTTGAATATTTGGGAAAGGTAGAGCAACTGGCGGGTTTACTGAAGGCTAGGTGTAAAAGATACCCTTGAAATCTTTCTGTCATATAACAATAACAAAGTCCATAATCTCTTTAAATGTATCGATCTGCTTGACATTCTCATTGCTTTGTAGGCCACCGTGGTAATGAAATAGCAACGTAACAGTGTAGCCTAATTAAGCTTCACAAGATATCTCTCGGAAACTCTTAGATCCGCGCACATCGAAAAAGTTGCTTCCCGCACCGCCTCCACCGAATTGTCATCATCCACCTGCAGCGATCTTCGGCCAGACCTCGAT